AATGTTGAATTATTTTTTTATTTTTTTTATTTGGACATTTGAGATCAGAAAAACAAAATAAAAGCAATGTAATTATACATAGATTTTGCAAAATAAATAAGCAATTCATGTCAAAATAGGAGTGGGAAGAATTAATGTTGGAACGTATTTCTTCAGCGTATCAACATCAGGGTTTGCTCAAGAGGATATCACCTTTCAATTTTATTCATTCCCTATTTTTTAGACAAACATGTATAAGTCCCACATCAAAACATTATTTTAATTAGGTACATGTGGTCTCAAATGATTCTTTCTACAATTAAGCTTTAATCTGCCAAAAACATCGTAGTTATTGTCTTTTAACTGATTTATAGCAGTTTGTCATGAAATTTAATGTATTTTGCCATACGTGATTTCACCCGGATTCGAACTCGAGTCGCTGGCACCAAAGCCCAGCCTCTTAACCATTAGACCACCGTTGCACATGTTAAAAGTCATCACACAAAAGCATGTGTCCGCTGTCTCAGTTTTTCAAAGGCGTCCCTATATAAATCCTCGTTTTAGTCTTTGGTTTGTCATTAATGATTTGAGGTCTCATAACAAGACCTTTTTTAGTTCTGTGGCCACATGTTATTTCACCACTGAGATTAGCCGTGAGGAGTTCTGGCTGCGGGTGGGACATCAAAATCACAACAATCTTTTAACTTATTGTGTCCCATTGACGCACAAATACGTCAAAGCAAATAGTAATGTCGTGTGCCATTGACGCATTAATACGTCAAATGCCTTTTTCGCTATTTTCACGTTCCCAGATGTCTATTGTATCTAATATGTATGGGGATGACTTGAGACCATATTTTATCGAGCCAGCAGGTGGCAGCATTTCTCTCTGAATGGTTTGAAAACAGTTAGGTGCACATGTTGTGCCTCTTTTTTCTCAACTTTCTGGTGATTTCAGTAAAGCTTCCCTCTACTTGACGGAGGATTACAGGGGAACGAAAAAAGCTATAAACAAAATTCTTTTTGCTGAGGAAAGTAGACAGTCCATTCTTTTAGAATCTGTGTCGGATTTCAGATAGTCATAGTACACAATATTCTGTGGGTCTTTAAAAATCAGTAAAAACCATCAGAAACGGCTGGCAATATGGGAGTACCTGTTCTGAAATGGGCTGGCACTCAATAAGGGTTGTAAAAGTAATTTTGGTTTTAAAATATCTCGGCTGTAAATTTCTCCTATTTGAGATAAATAAAGCACATCTTATCTGATCTACTGTTTTCAGTTAAAGATGTATTCGAAAAGAGCATGATTGAAGCATTGGGGCCATTTAATGATGACTTGACATGCAAATATGACATACTGCTGCTTTAAGGTTCTAAACAAAGCCTAACATGGTCTACAAGTCAAAACAATAAAATATCCTTTAAATGTCGATTATATTCTTATGCCTCAACATTGCAACACAGTGTAACATTATTCCAAATCTCCCACAATCCCCAATCCTCTAGATCAGGGGTGCTCAATACGTCGATCGCGATCTACCAGTCGATCGCAAAGGTAGTATTGGTAGATCGCATTAAATAAATAAAAAATTACATATTCTAAACGAATATATACAAAAAACTCCGGGCAAAGTGGAGATTTTTGAAAACTCCGTTAATGCATTTGTGTGTAGACAGAGATAACCAGAGTTTTGCGTTCTCGCACGCCACAGTACCCCCCTAAATTCCTCTGATCACTGAAGCATGGATCATACTACCTTAAAAATTGTCCGCTGTGAGATGCTCGCAGCAGCGAACATCCTCGCTCCACATTAGAGAGCAGCAAAGTGATCGCAGGGACTCACGCTCGAAAACAACCAAACCAGGACTAAACCAGGACTAAACCAATACTAAACCAGGACTAAACCAGGGCTGAGGACGGGGTCAGTGCTTGTAAACATACGTCTTACTCTTTACTCTGAGTGTCTTCTATGACTGTAAAAGTGCCGTTACCGGCGTCTGCATCAGAACTCCGCCCACTTCTGTGTTTTTCCCCAACGCAGGACAGGACGTAAGAGACGCACATGTTTGGAATGTTACAAATGTGACTGATAACGCAGATGTGTGGATGCAAATTATTTTATAAACGGAGGAGGGGAAATATTTGGATTAAAAAAAAACAGGCATGGCACATGGACATGGCACCACAGTCAAATGACATCTGTGTTTTACTCAGTAATGTTTTACTGACACTTAGGTGACTGCACATGCGCAAACAACCGCGCTCAGTTCAGGAAAGCAAAACCACGACAAACTTGTCAGCGAGTTACCACCAATTTTCCGGACTATGCATCCATGGCCGATTCAATTCAGTGCAAGTCATAAGAGTAAACTCGGGTAATGACAAAAAATTGACATAGGTAATTGTGTTGTGTTGTGCTATATTGGCTCATGCTGTTTTGCATGTACATAAACATACATTGTAGATATAAAGAATATTTTTTGAAATATATGATTTGCATTTTTGTAGTAGGTAGATCATTTTGACTTGATCCTTTTATAAGTAGCTCGCATGCTGAAAAAGTGTGAGCACCCCTGCTCTAGATCTTCTCCATAATTAAACTAACATTTTATTTCCAGATCGGTGACAGTTCTCTGGGTCCCTCCCATGTCCTATTTCCTCTCTCCTCTTCAGACATTGTTTATCCAGCCATGATTGTCGGAACCCTGGGGCGACTTGTTGTCATCGTTCAGCACAAAAATGTTCTATCATCAGCTCCATTCCCTGTTTTTTGTGTTCGCGTCGCCGCTTCCCCGGATTAGATTATTTCGGTTTGACATCTACCCACAGTCCTGCTTAAAAACAACAAAAAAAATCTCTTAGCGGGTACAGAAGCGTTTTGTGTGCGGCTGGAGAGACTTTGAATTATTTTTTGACATCGGGACGACTTGAGAATGGAGGGGAAGCAGAGGATTAATATGGTTTGTGGGTAATTAGAAAGGGGAGGCTCGGCGGCGGAATACATTTGTCAGAAGCATTGTGAGCGGGAGAAGTGAGATGTCACGGGTTTGTTTTGTTTTCGCCCGTCTTTGTTTCTGCGTTTTGGAGCAGCTGTTTGGAATCTTACACGGGGTTCGGCTTCCTGTTTACATTCTCTAAGTCTCTGCATGAACAAGTACCATAAAACTGAGGAGGCAGCGTTTACGGCCATACAAAGTCAGATCTCTGAAGCTAAGCAGGGCAGGGTTTGGTTAGTGCTGTGATGGGAGACATGTGGGAACGCCAGGTGCCACAGTGGGGCGGCTGTAAAGTGCCAGACTGTGCTTGTGTCCTTAGGCAAGACACTTCACCCACATTAGAATGAGTCTGGTGTGTGTGTGTGAATGGTTGGTGGTTGGAGGGGCTGATGACATAGACGGGTTGCCTCACTTCTGTCAATGTGCCCCAGGGCAGCTGTGGCGACAGTAGTTGTTTATCACCGTGTATGTAGTGAAAGAATGATGACATGTGAAGAGCCCAAAATAATGTAAAAGTGAAGTATTATTATCATTTTCATTTCCGCTACAGACATCAGTGATGGGACAGCAGTCATTTTTCATTCAAGAATTTATTTGCCATTTGTAAAACTGAAAGACTACCCCAGTGTGCACCAGAGTTAAGTTGAATGAGTTTTACCTGTCCCAGTCATGTCCAGTTATCCCAATAATAAACTATAAGGTGATTGTTGAAGGAGAGTAAGTGCAGAAAACCTAAGAACAATTTTTCTTTTCTTTTTTTGAGAATATTAAATATTATATACGATGAACTGCAGGATTATAAATTGTAATATATCGCCAAATTGATATTTTCTAAGAACCTTTCAAGTAACATCTAATGAAATCCTTCTTTCTCCTGCAAAGTACATCAATGACAAAATAATAGGGTGATTTTGACCCATCATACAAATACATTTAATTATTTGTGTTGAAATAAAAGAAACCATTCAGTGGACACAATACAAACAACTCACACGTTATATACTGTATATGTTGAGAAAATACCCAAAAATCAACATGAAAAATTAGATTTCTTTAAAAAGACAGAATGTGGTTTGCATAGAAAAATCAAGAATTGATCTGAATTTATGCAAATACAATTTAACAACATTCTTCTAATGGAACAATCAATACAGAAATAGATTTTAAAAAGCCTGAAACATTGTCTTATGAATGCAGCAAGTATGACCTTACAGTTGTAGCCCTTGATGTGAGAAAGGAGAAATTGAGGATTACAAAAATTGAGTCTATAAAAAAAGGATAACATGAATGAAGAACTGTTTTATCATCTGGCGTTCCCACATGAATGAAGAAACGTTTTTTTTTAAATCGCTTGTGTAGCAAACATTGGCACCAAAGGGGTTAAAAGTGGCTAAAACTCTACAATTGTCAGTATAGTTTGATAACTACCATAGACTGTATATTAACGAACGTAGTCACGCATATCTCCGCCGTTCTAACTAATGGGCCAAAAATTGGGCTTTCATGGAGTCGTTCAAAATAGCTGCAGGGGCTGGAAAATTTGAAAAAACGTATCTGCGCATGCGTCAGCTGCACGAGCCCCATTTATTTAAACGAGTGACTTCAAAAATTCACACACAAAACTAGACTGGTCCAAAAAAATCCTTCCCCCTCAGCATTGACACACATGTGGAACGGAGCTTTGGGCCAAGAGCCAACTTTCGGAACATCCTGTAAAGACGTTTGAGAGGTAAGAAAATGCTATATGTTAGCATTGGCTAATTCTCATTCCGGGTCCACCCCCATCGGCCCGGGGTGGTATTGCAGCATGTCAGCGCACGTCATTTTGGCCACTTTTGAGCCGGGACCCGCCCCCACTGGCCACTACACATACTGTACACTTCATGTTCTGTATTTTTCAGTTGTTTTCCTGTTTGCTTTCTTTCCCTGATGCGGAGGAGGCCCAGACAGCCTTCAGTTTCACACGTGGCCTGCCTTTCCATTTCACACTTATTAAGACGGTCCTTTGTTTGGGCGAGCGCCTCATGCCTCCCCGCCGCGATCCCCGGCGCACAAACCTCACGAGGGCCTCTGGGATTTGGATTACCGCACTTCCAACACGTCAGGAGAAAATCCACCCGGGAATGTGCTCCACACTTTAGCCACGTTCGCACCCTGGAATTGAGACGTGGGTTTTTTGCAGCTTAGAATCAGTCGGGTTTTTTTTACTGATTCTGAGCCGCCTTTATCAGATTATTATTTTTTTTGACTCAATGTTGATCTCACATATTATAATCAAAATGTAATGATATACCGCCTTAATAATTTCTTAATCAACACATTAATTAATTTGTGCCGTGTGAATTATTTTTAACCCAGACATGAGACAAGGAGACATCAGGAGTTTGCGTTTATTTGCCGTTTTTAAGCAAGGTCCCAGACATCTCCAAAGTCGGGTCCATGGGCGCTCCTACAGTCTACTAAAGTCTGCGACGGTCTACCAGAGTCTGCGACGGTCTACCAGAGTCTGCCACAGTCAACCAGAGTCTGCCACTGTCTACCAGAGTCTGCCACAGTCTACCAGAGTCTGCCACTGTCTACCAGAGTCTGCCACTGTCTACCAGAGTCTGCCACAGTCAACCAGAGTCTGCCACTGTCTACCAGAGTCTGCCACAGTCAACCAGAGTCTGCCACTGTCTACCAGAGTCTGCCACAGTCTTCCATAGTCTACCAAAGTCTGCCACAGTCTACCAGAGTCTGCCAGAGTCTGCCAGAGTCTGCCAGAGTCTGCCAGAGTCTGCCACAGTCTACCAAAGTCTGCCACAGTCTACCAGAGTCTGCCACAGTCTACCAGAGTCTTCCACAGTCTACCAGAGTCTTCCACAGTCTACCAGAGTCTTCCGCAGTCTACCAAAGTCTGCCACAGTCTACCATAGTCTACCAAAGTCTACCACAGTCTACCACAGTCTACCAGAGTCTGCCACAGTCTACCAAAGTCTTCCACAGTCTACCAAAGTCTTCCACAGTCTACCAAAGTCTGCCACAGTCTACCAAAGTCTACCACAGTCTACCAGAGTCTGCCACAGTGTACCAAAGTCTGATTGTCATAGAAAAGGCCTTAAATGCTTATGTAAACACAGACTTTGGAAACATGACGGGGCAGAATGAAGTGTATGACTTCAATGTACAGACGCGTTGGCCTCAGATGTCATAACCATGAGCTAAGTTTGGCTTTGGCACAGACCAAACTTCAATGTACATGAGGAAGTACTATCTATGGACTGCACATTTATGCTTGGTTAGCTGTTTAAAGTACAGTAGTCAGCAATGTACAGGGGCGACAGTGGCTCAGCCTTTGAGCCTGCAGGTTGTGGGTTCAAGCCTACCATAAGACCTACTTTACGACTCCCACTGAGGTCTGCTGTCGTTGTGTCCTTGGGCAAGATACTAAACCCCACTTTGCCTGAAGGCCCCGCTGAAAGATCTCAGCTCCTGTGGACTCACCACCTGCAGGAGGATCAGTGAGGGGCTGGTGCTCTGTGTACTGGATGTAGCTCTGACTGCCACCCCTGACCCAGAAATGGATTAAGGGGAAGAAATTGGATGAATAGTCAGCAATGTTGAAACTTCATAAAACAGTGTCAATAATAATTAGCAAGCAATAATATTTAGAAATTCACAGCCGTTTGCGGTTGATCTCTCTTGGTTGTTCTTTAACTAATGTTAGTTATTAAGAACACAAAGGCCGGCACGGTGGCTGAGTGGATAGCACTCTCGCCTCTCAGCAAGAAGGTCCTGGGTTCGAATCCCGGCCGGACCAGGGCCTTTCTGAGTGGAGTTTGCATGTTCTCCCCGTGTCTGCGTAGGTTTCCTCCGGGTCCTCCGGTTTCCCCTACCACTAAAAATATGTACAATAGGTCTGGCATGCGCCTCCTGTTCGGCGACCCCGCTCCCATCTCTGTGTGGAGTGAGAGGACAAATGCCCAAAAAATAACAATTGTAAACCGCTTTGTGACTCTGGTCTGTGAAAGGCGGTATATAAATAAAGCTTACTTACTTACTTACTACTTACTTACAAAGTAAATATTCTACATTTACCACATTTGGTCATTGAATTCTGCTTTCCAAACATAATACAGATTTTTTTTGTCCTGTAAGTCTGTATGTAATGTCCTGATGCTTTTCTTAACTATATGGGAAAAATATAAACCTATTACGCTCTTTTTGTCTTAATCTTTGAAGCTGAAGCCAATGTATCACAAAAATAGGATCTTAATGTCAATGACACGATGTTAATGTCAAAATAGATTGGATCGTTGGTGGTCATTACGGGTCAACGGTGCATTAAAACACCTTTTTATTAAATCATGTTTCATAACATAAAAAACTGTGGCTTGTGTGATCTATATTTGGACAAAATGTACTTTCTCTTAAACTTAAACAGCTAAAGTGTTCTTAATAGTTCAGCAAGTATTGTATTGTGCATTGCAGTGGTGTGAAGATGCTAACTGGTAAACCGATAATATGTTCAAAAAATAAAAATAACAAAGTATACCTTCAACTTCCGTAGTGGTTATCCCTCTCTGAGCTTGGGCCTGGAAGCTTGAGGGTTCTGTGCAGTATCTTTTCTGTTCCTACACTGCACATTTCTGGACCGAGATATCCGAGGCTGGTTCCAGAGATCTGCTGTCACCTCCTCCAGCTTTGGGGTCACAGTTGTTTGTTTTTTCCCCAATCATGATCTTTTACTTAAGCATCCGCTGGCAATAGCAGGTGTATTTTGAACTTCATAATCCACAAGCTATATATCATTTTAAAGCTTATTTTCTCAGCTATATCTATATGTAAGTGTGAACGATATCAGACTTGCATTAAAAAGATATAACGCATAATATGGGCACAAAATAAATCGTGTTTGTATAAGTTTCTTACCTTTCGTCTTCTGCTGCTCCAACAAATTAGACTTTCCCCATCCTTGCTCAGTCTCTTTCTCTCCGTACGTCTTCAGTGAAAAAGAATATCCACTTGTATTTCCCAAAGTATAATCCATTCTTCATAAATAATCCAAAAATGTGCATTTTTCTGTTGCAAAAAACGCTCGAAAGATGTTCAGGCTTCTCTTTCACATTTCACCAAGTTTGAGCTTTGTTTAGCCCCACACATATCTACATGTTCCTTGAGTCCTTAGCTTCAAAAAGAGAGGTTCCATGAAAAGATAGGAGCAGGTTTCAGTCCGCAGGACCCTTTGACCGTTTGGCCGTGTTGTTAGCTACACAGCTAGCGCAATGTGCTAGCACTGAATGATTGACGTGTCTAAGTAGCCAATAAAAAGAGCTTTCTATTGATGGGTGGGATTTGTAGGAACTCTTTACATTTTCACAGTAAAAGCATGCGTAAAGACGTCGGTAATACTGCTGCGCATATTTTATATGCATTTAAACTACAAAAACATTAATTTTGAAAAAATGTAAAAGAAAATCATACAGATTTTTGTTTGTTTTTCTGATTGAGTATTGAAACGTTGTACCTGGTCTTTGGTTTAGAATTAGAGTTTGTTGATGTGAGAACACTTCCAAATCAGATCTGTGGAAAGGCTGCACCTCGACACCCACAGCAAATGTTTTAGAGACGGATACATGTTAAAAGTCAGACTTACCTCCTCCAGCCATTTAATCATTATGCACCGACACTCTAATAATAAAACCGGCTGTACCCGTGCTTTAACGCGGGGTTAACCGGTCTAAACTTCGTTCTCCGCTTCTCCAGCCCGCAGCGTGCCGAGCAGAGGCGGAAACAGTCCCTCGGAACGGCATCCGCGGTCAATGGCCCGTCAATAAACAACAAGAATTAGCTAAACAGGCATGTGCGGGCAGCTGCCTTCTTCCAGGCTTCAGGCCCTAGAACCGTAATCGGCTTTTTATGGATCCTGATGCAAAGCGCTTTACCTTTACTCTTTGACCGCTCTTAGACTGCAGAAGCACAACATGAGCCTGGAGGAGGCCCACCCACACAGAGGCGGAAGCAAATATGAGAGAATCACAAAGAGGTGAGACCAAGACAGACTTAATGAGACTTCTGCTGATGGAAAACACCAGACTCCAAGATTTGTTTCAACATAGTTCTCTCATCAAGAACAGAACTGGATTATAGCTTCATCCACAGATCACAAACGTCCACTACTACTGCTGCTGCTGCTGCTACTACTACTGCTGCTACTGCTGCCACTGCTGCTACTACTGCTGCTGCTGCTGCTACTACTACTGCTGCTACTGCTGCCACTGCTGCTACTACTGATGCTGCCACTGCTGCTACTACTGCTGCTGCTACTGCTACTGCTGCTACTACTGCTGCTACAACTGCTGCTACTACTGATGCTGCCACTGCTGCTACTACTGCAGCTACTACTACTGCTGCTACTACTGCTGCTGCTACTACTACTACTGCTGCTGATGCTGCCACTACTGCTGATTCTGCCACTGCTGCTACTACTGCTGCTGCTACTGCTGCTACTACTGATGCTGCCACTGCTGCTACTACTGATGCTGCCACTGCTGCTACTACTGATGCTGCCACTGCTGCTACTACTGTTGCTACTACTACTGCTGCTACTACTGCTGCTGATGCTGCCACTGCTGCTACTACTGATTCTGCCACTGCTGCTACTACTGCTGCTGCTACTGCTGCTACTACTGCTGCTACAACTGCTGCTACTACTACTGCTGCTGCTGATGCTGCCACTGCTGCTACTACTGCTACACTACTGCTGCTGCTGCTACTACTGCTGCTACAACTGCTGCTACTACTACTACTGCTGCTGCTGATGCTGCCACTGCTGCTACTACTGCTACACTACTGCTGCTGCTGCTACTACTGCTGCTACTGCTACTACTGCTGCTGCTGCTGCTGCTGCTGCTACTGCTGCTGCTGCTGCTACTAAAGTCTCAAAAGCCATTCATTAATTACAATTTCAACATTTGATCATTAATTCGTTATTTTTTTCAGAAAAATCAACCAGAAAATAATAGTCAAACTAGTGTCACATAAAAGTCATGTCCAAATTCCTTCATAAAGTAAAAAACAATTATAAGAAAAGAAAATCCCTTCTATTCTTTCGGCCCCTGACCAAAATGAGTGAGCAGAAAGTTTAACCCTCATAAGTTATTTGTAATTAACAAAATCAAAACTTTCTAATCACAGAAGCATCAAAACCTGTACACTAATAATCAATTTACCTCCTATTGATTTGTGCTTATACCTTCTCCCCCTTTTGGCCAATTCTTACTGTAGCAAATTGAAAATGCGCGTTGTACAAACACGGGCACCAATTTGCATTTCCATAAACATCTCATTTGCCGCGTGTCAGCAGCGGTCGCGGGCTCGTCTGTGGCGCACCAAGACGTATCGGTGAATATTCTCCCCAAAGGTCAGCCTCCATTCAAAACAACACATTTGATTTACCGTTGAATTAAGGCCTGTTTTTCCATTCAACACAGACATCTTCTCAAATGTTGTTTTGACCTTTCGCTTCGGCATAGATTATGTAGAATATCTATTTTGTTTTTTTGCCCGCACGCCGTTGCTCAATGTTCATTCTGCAGTTACAACCGTTGGAAATGAAGTCCAGAGGCGTCGGAACAAGTTGATTTCGTGTTTTGAACTTTGCCGCAGATCAGTTGTCACTCCTGGAAACCTGTCGGCGGCACGGTGGCTGAGTTGATCGCACTCTCGCTTCTCAGCAAGAAGGTCCTGGGTTCTAATCCTGGTCTAAACAGGGCCTTTCTTAGTGGCGTTTGCATGTTCTCCCGTGTCTGCTCCGGTTTCCTCCGGGTGCTCCGGTTTCCCCCACCACTAAAAACATGTAGGTCTGGCATGTGCTTCTTGTACTGGCCCCGCTCCCATCTCTGTGTGGAGTGAGAGACAAAGGCCCAAAAAATAACAATTGTAAACCTCTTTGTGAAAGGTGGTATATGAATAAAGATTACTTACTTACTTAATAGGAATTATCTGGAAATGATGGCAACAAACTGAAAATAACTGGAAATTATGGCAAAAAACTGGAATTAACAGGGAATTTTCTGAATCCAAGGTTGGCTCTCCAAGTTTGTGGAAAGATTTTTTTTTGCACAATCTTGACAAAAAAAAAACCAGAAACGCCCTTCAATACACTTAGGATCAGAGATGATACATTTACAATTAATTCGCAGCTTTGGAGTGTTCCCCAAACATTCCCCATCTTACTTTCACATGGAAATGTACCGGAAACTTGTCGATGCAATCCTACAATTAATTACCAACTCCAATGGAATGGCTGTTGTTGAGTTAAAAAGACCAACATGATGGATGTATGAAGGCTGCAGGATCTTACAGGTTTTTTTCGTTCGACCCTGCATGCGTATTAATCTTATGCTACTAGTTTTTATCTTTTGCCTATTGGTTTGTTCATCTGTTTTGTTGTTATTGCATGTCACGTGATTCAGAAAGAATATATTCGTGACGTGGGCTCTTCAAGCTACACTTGGAACGTCCCCAGTTTCATTTGCTAAAGGCTAATAAAGAAAACTTGGCTGTTCCTTTACTTATTGTTTTGTAATTTGGAATCTTGTAAAGGCGGATGGAACACTGGCTTCTTGAATTTCCTTGACCCAATTAACCAATGCCAGAGCCCCCTTTACCATGGGCGCCATGGGTTAGCCATGATTCTTGTAATGGTCTTCTTCCAACGCCAACGCTTCTTGTGTTTCCCCTTGGCTCCTTAACCCTCTATTGAATAACATATAATTTTGTTTTAAATCATATTGATTCATATATCTAGGTATGGAGCTTTAATTTAAGCGAAACCCAAGCATTGTGTTCAAAATTTAAAGTAATGCACAATCAAGCTGAGTTGTTCTGCCTGTTGTGACGCATTTACATATTACAGAAGTGATATTAAAGTCTGATGATTGTTTGTTAGGAAGCATCAGAAGTTACTCGCCTCGTGGGAAATGAAACTCACTTAAACACAGAGCTGTCTTTGCCTCTGGGCCACCGTACGCCCCCTTCCCCCAGCCCACCAACCCTCCCTCCGTTGAACCCGCACTGACGATCGTGCTCCGGCCCCCGATCCATTTATCCAGGTGGCGGAGCGCGGTCAGGAGGCAGGATGCTTGGGTAATGATAAACAGTGGATTTGATTGTGGGAGATTTGTGCGTAATAATGGGCTGTCTGCTCAGGTTAGCTTACATATTTATGCATGAGTTTTCTCCCGTGGTACAATGGCTGCGTATTAGAGATGCCGGCTCTCATCTGTTACAAGACCGGAATCCAAATACCAAATGTGTGTTATCATGCAAGAGTAACAAGAATTCTATCTCAAACGTCCGCAACAAACAAGATCAACATTAAGAAGAAGAAGAGATCCTTTATTTGTCACACAGTAGGGGAAATGCCAGTGTTGCATCATCAGTTACTGAACAGTATTTAATGGTCTATGGGAGGAGTTTTAGGAAAGAACCGCCCTGTCCACTTTTTGAACTAAACTCTCTGATCTTATTTGACGAGCACGTATCCCCAGAATGATGGACAAATGAGAGGACCTATAGTTTTAATGATCCACCCGGGAGTAGATCAATCAATCAATCAACTTTGCATTGTACAGCGCCTTTCTTACACAAAGCAATACAAAGCGCCTCACAACCCACATCATATCAAGCAAATCATAGACAATAAAATCTACATATCCATAAAAAAAACAAAAAAACAACACACAAAAAATTAAACAGAATAACACCACAAGTAAATTACAACCTTAAAACATTAAAGACACACACGGGACTAAAATAATTAATAGCCACAATGCATAAAAAAGTGTAATCCTCCTATTACACAGCGCAAGATAAGTGCACAATAACTCTATACTAAAATCAAATCATGGCTCTGAATAATAAACTCATAATGAAGAAGCAAGTACAACATCTCTGCCTTTAGCGTAATAAAGTTTTGCTCTGGCCTGTGATTGGAGAACCACTGCGGCTCGAGGCACTGATTGGAGGAGCGGCTCTGCATCTGGCCAATCCTGCGTCTCCAGCTGGGTTCCTCTTTCTGAAGGCCATTCTCTGCATCTGTTTGCGGCTGGTGCCATTTTGGTTTCATTTTCAATGTGTGTAAATGTATGTCGTGTCACTGAGGTGTGACATTTCCTTTTTTATTTAATCTAATTTTATTTTTCAATGTTGGTTTTGTTTACATGAGTCACTTTTTTGAGTCAGCAGTTAAATTAGAGTTATCTACTGTGTATTCCAGTCTATAACATTAGCTTGTATTTTTTTGTAACCTTTTGTTTTCCGCTTTTTTTCCTTTTGAATCGTACCGAACTTTTGTTGTCTGGGAAAGATGTTTGACCGTGTGTGTGCAAAGTCATGAAGCTGTTCAGAAAGCTTCGGTTTATTTGTCCTTTGCAGTAGCCTGGCCTTAGCCATCCGTATTCCCTACATGTACATCTGGGTCTGATCCTAGTGGCTGCAGTCTCATCGGTTGAATCCAGCTCCGACCAATCAGCGAGCGGGGGAGGCGGGTGTTGTAGGTCGGTGTCGGTTTGCACCAAATTAGCCGGTTGTAGTTTGGCAGAGAAAACAATAGAAAAGTGATCTTTTCTGGCTCGGCTCCAAAGATCAAGAAATTGAAGCCAGAGAAAGAGAAATGTTTAGCAAATGTGTGGCTCCACTCCCCACAGGCTCTGTTAGCGGCAAAGGAGATGGCTAAATTTCGGCTAAATGCTAAAGGTAGGCTAAATGCTCACCCAACCGGGATTAAATATGTCATGGCAAATTCAGATCCAATAGTTTAAATCTGCAAAAGGAGTTAACCCCTCCTACCTGTTAATGGAGAAAATCCAGACCGTAATACAAAATGAAATGAGTATGACGGTATAGTAAGACCAGGCTACATTTGCAGTGAAACCACCTTGGAATAACTGATGTTGTTCTCATGCAGCAGATCTACTTCTCTGGCACTTAAAGGTCTCCTTTTATTTGTATATTTTTTTCAAAAGCAAAACTTATTCCAGACCTG